GTCCCCCTCCTGAAGCTGTTAGCCGTGGCTGGACTCAACGCTGTCCAGCGGCCCCACCGCGTTGGTGGCCTTGCCCAGCAGGCAGCACAGGAACCCATCGGTGATGCTGTTCAGCATTTTGCTCCCTGCACGGGCAAGAGGGGGTTAGTCGTGAGCTCCAGCACCCGACAGGGACCTGCTGGGGGTCCTGGTCCCCTCCCTGCTTTGCTGCCAGCCCCCCCAGCAGCACGAGGCAGGGCAGAAGGTGCCTCCGGGGAGGTATTGGGGTTGAACTTGGTGATCCCCAAATGCACAGCCTGTCTCAGCCAACAGGCTCCTGTTCCTGAGCAGAGGCAGAGGCAGTGCCCCCTGATCAGCTTTGTCTGGGCCATGTCCCTGTCCCTGGGCTGATGGGACAGACCCAGACCTGCAGTCCTGGCACGAAGCTGCTGCCCCCTGAGGAGGGAACAGCCCCAGGCAGGGCAGGACCACACAAGGAACAGCCCATTTGAAATGCAGATGCTGTTTCTGGCACCAAATCCGGAGCTAAGGAAGGATCCTGCTATGAAAATACATTATTTATACCAATTAAATATATATACATATAATGAATTGCCAGTCTAAACCACTGACACAAACAGTGAGAGAGGGAAATTGCAGGGGCTGGAGAGGGAGGTTTCAGTTACAGTCACTGCCAACCAAGGCTGAAGGTAACACAGCAGTAGGGTCAGGCCAGTGACCCAGCACCCACCTGGGGGTGGGAAACCCCCTCCTCACATCCCCACTCAAGCACCACGAGGGTTGTGGAGGGATGTGTCACTGTCCTTGCTGTCCCCAAGGCTCATTCCTTGACATGTTCTCTTCCAGATGTACCCGGGAGGGGGCTGTGAATTCAGGGACCACCAAAACGTGAGGTAGGAAAGGCTGGTGGCACCGGGAGTGTTGGTGGTGGGACTGGAGCCTGGTCCCATCCCAGTGGTGCCCAGGGTGGCCGTGGAGGGGGCTGGGAGGTCCCTGCCTCCCCTGGCTGGCAGCCCCGAGGTGTGTTTATTATTGATGAAGCTGCACACGGTGAATTATTGATGGTGTTGGCAAAGAGGGTTGGAGCTGGGGCTGCAGAGGAGCTGTCCCTGCAGGGGGGGCACGGGCTGAGGGCACCCACCACGACCTCTGGGGAAGAGGATGAAAAGCATATTCCCAGGGGTGGGGAATTAAACACCTAAATCCCAGGAATGGTGTCAGGAACAGCCCACTTTGCTCCCCCAACAGCCCCTCCAGGGGCAGCCAGTGGGATTTGCTGGCAGAGCGTGGGAAGTGAGGGCTGGAGGCAGGGGGGGCTCAGGCCTCTCCCTCCTTGGCTTTTAACCTTCACTGCACTTGGAGAAGCCAACACTGTGCCTTGCTTGGAGACCCCAGGGACCCAACACACCCAGCCTGGCCCCCACAAGGCTCCCAGGGGCAGGATGGGCTCTGCCAGGAGCTCGGGGTGGGCAAGGAGCCCACGTGCTCCCACCCAGCACCCGCTGGTGCATTTCCCCAGAGAAAACCAGCCTGTTTGCTCCAGGTGGTCACTGCACTTGGAGAAGCCAACACTGTGCCCTGCTTGGAGACCCCAGGGACCCAACACACCCAGCCTGGCCCCCACAAGGCTCCCAGGGGCAGGATGGGCTCTGCCAGGAGCTCGGGGTGGGCAAGGAGCCCACGTGCTCCCACCCAGCACCCGCTGGTGCATTTCCCCAGAGAAAACCAGCCTGTTTGCTCCAGGTGGGAGATCTGGGTAATGGTTCCCTTGGCAAAGCTGGAGTGGCTTATCCAGGGAGTGCTGCCAGGTCTCGGGACAGTGGCCAGTGTTTGAATCTGGCCTGGCTCTGCCAGGGAGAGTGGCCCCAAGCCCATGGAAAGGCCACATGAGGCTCTGCGTGCTGAACTGGAGGGACTGGAAATGCAGCAAAGCCAGTCCTGGGTGATCATGCTCCCCAGCGAGGGGCACAGCATTCCTAGCTCTCTTGTTTGTGCCTGGCCTTGTGTCACTGATCTCTCTCCCAGAAACAAGCACATCCATCTGGGATGCAGCTGCACCAATGGACCCATCCAAGCTGATGAGCAAGAGGCCCCAGAGCCCTGGGGAGGAGAAGCCAAATCCAGACCTCGCTGGCAAGGGGCCAGTCTGCTCTGCTGAGCTGTGCTTCCAGAGGGGAGATGAGCCCGAGGAGCTGGGCACCAGCCTGGCTGGCCCCCTGACGAAGGTGCCTTGGCACTGGGAGGGACCTGCTGTGCTTTCAAGCATCAGGCTGGGGCTGCTCAGCCTCCCCAAGCAGCTCTGGGCAGGCAGAAAACCCAGGGGGAGATGGAAAAGCAGCCCCCACCAGCACAACTGTGAGCTCTCCACAAGCTCTGCCCGTGGCTGGTGGGCTACATCCTGCATGGGACCTGGACCAGTGGGACCTGGACATGATCCTGCCTCTGATTTCCACAAAGCCTGGCTCTGCACTGCACCTCCATCTCACAGGGTGCTCGTGAGCTCTGGATGGATTAGAAACAGGATTTCTGGCCAAACAGCCTCGACGTCGCTGGACTTCTCAGGATTAACTCAATTAGTCCATCCTGTTGGCTTCCAGAATTGATTTGCTGGAAGGCTCTGGCAGTCAGGAGCTCTGCAGGCACATCCAGGAGCTCTGAGGGCAGATCCAGGAGTCCAGGCTCAGGCCACAGATCCATCCTCCAGCATCATCAGCTCTGGGTACGAGCCCAGATCCTGCTGCAGGAGCCAGGGGTGAGATGCCTCCACTTGGATATACCCAGGCTGGAGCTCGGGGTCTGGGATGTGGCAGTTCCTGCAGCTGAGAAACCACCACTCCAGTCCTACCAGTGGGTTCATCCCAGTGGAGCTGTGCCAGGTGGGAGCTGGAGGGGGCTGAGCCTCTCGGCTCCAGGTCAGACCTCTTCTCGGGGCTGGGAGGGGAATCGTGCCCGTCTCCCACCGGGAGTGCTGCCAGGTCTCGGGACAGTGGCCAGTGTTTGAATCTGGCCTGGCTCTGCCAGGGAGAGTGGCCCCAAGCCCATGGAAAGGCCACATGAGGCTCTGGGTGCCGAACTGGAGGGACTGGAAATGCAGCAAAGCCAGTCCTGGGTGATCATGCTCCCCAGCGAGGGGCACAGCATTCCTAGCTCTCTTGTTTGTGCCTGGCCTTGTGTCACTGATCTCTCTCCCAGACACAAGCACATCCATCTGGGATGCAGCTGCACCAATGGACCCATCCAAGCTGATGAGCAAGAGGCCCCAGAGCCCTGGGGAGGAGAAGCCAAATCCAGACCTCGCTGGCAAGGGGCCAGCCTGCTCTGCTGAGCTGTGCTTCCAGAGGGGAGATGAGCCCGAGGAGCTGGGCACCAGCCTGGCTGGCACCCTGACGAAGGTGCCTTGGCACTGGGAGGGACCTGCTGTGCTTTCAAGCATCAGGCTGGGGCTGCTCAGCCTCCCCAAGCAGCTCTGGGCAGGCAGAAAACCCAGGGGGAGATGGAAAAGCAGCCCCCACCAGCACAACTGTGAGCTCTCCACAAGCTCTGCCCGTGGCTGGTGGGCTACATCCTGCATGGGACCTGGACCAGTGGGACCTGGACATGATCCTGCCTCTGATTTCCACAAAGCCTGGCTCTGCACTGCACCTCCATCTCACAGGGTGCTCGTGAGCTCTGGATGGATTAGAAACAGGATTTCTGGCCAAACAGCCTCGACGTCGCTGGACTTCTCAGGATTAACTCAATTAGTCCATCCTGTTGGCTTCCAGAATTGATTTGCTGGAAGGCTCTGGCAGTCAGGAGCTCTGCAGGCACATCCAGGAGCTCTGAGGGCAGATCCAGGAGTCCAGGCTCAGGCCACAGATCCATCCTCCAGCATCATCAGCTCTGGGTACGAGCCCAGATCCTGCTGCAGGAGCCAGGGGTGAGATGCCTCCACTTGGATATACCCAGGCTGGAGCTCGGGGTCTGGGATGTGGCAGTTCCTGCAGCTGAGAAACCACCACTCCAGTCCTACCAGTGGGTTCATCCCAGTGGAGCTGTGCCAGGTGGGAGCTGGAGGGGGCTGAGCCTCTCGGCTCCAGGTCAGACCTTGTCTCGGGGCTGGGAGGGGAATCGTGCCCGTCTCCCACCTCCCACGCACCCAGAAAACATCCAGGGCTGCTGGGATGAAAAAAGGGCTGGAAATTGAAGCCAGATGGATGCGAAGAACTTCGCAAAGATGCTGGTCACCATGGCAACGAGCTGCTTCCCATCCCCTCCATCCTGGCTCCCTTCCGTGGATTTCGGCACCGGTTACATAAGGGCAGGCACAACAATGAGTCAGGAGCAGCGTGAACCTGCCCGAGGTTCCCAAGGCCCAGGACATGGAATGGGGCTTGGGAAGGTGGATGGTATCACCCTGAGCTCATGCCCACATCCTGGTTTCTGCACACTCCCCCCAAAATCGCAGCTGCCCCCAGGAAACCGCTCCCAGCAGAGAGGGGATGCTGGAGGGATGCTGGGATTCATCCTGGGAGGGTGATTTATGGCCCAGCTCCAGACCTCATCCTGGAGCACCCATGTGGAGTCTTCCAGCTTCACCCTCCCCACTGCCCACGATGGACAACCCAGCTGGGAGAAAAACAACTTACTGACCTACTTCGGGCTGCAGCGCCTCGGGTTTTGTACGACTCGACGGCACCGGGGAAAAATGGGATGAGATGAGACATGGCAGGAGGGGGGAAGGGAAGTCTGAGGGGAAAACATGACAGGCAGCCACCAGGGGCAGGCACAAACCTGGGGGGGGGACACGGAGCCTGTGGGGTGGTGTATGAGGGCCTGGCTCACCCCACATCTGCCCCAGGTGTGGGCTCTTCCCTTGCTAACCTCCAGGGAAAAGGGTCTTCTCTGCCCCAAACACCCTCCTGGTCCTGCTCCCCATGGGGGTCCTGTCCCTCTGAGGCTGCTGGGGACAGCTGATGTCCCAAGCATCCAGGATACTGGGAATGAAAAAAAAAATAATCATCTGCTCCTCCTCCTGTCCTGTCCCCTCTGGGAAGACCTTGAATTGTGGGCAGGAGGAAGGACAGGATGTCTCCTGAGCTTGTCCTTGCCCAGATGAGTCCTGGTAAACACTGGGCCCCAATAA